CCAGCCAAGGGTCGGGACAGAAGAAATCAGCAAGGTCAGAGCAATCCCGGGTCAGCAACAATCACAAATACACAGGTTCAGGAACAGGACACAATAAAGACCATACAGCAACCAGTGACAGCACAGGGGGGATTTAAATACCGCGCCCTGCGCTGTCATTGGTGCCAGGCGTGCACCCGCGGACCCCAGTGCGCATGCACGAGCTCCGCCGCCGCGGCCGGCCAGGACCTAGCGCCCGCACACTAGTGCAAGTCGGCATACTGTGACTGCGCCGGGACCAGCGCCGCGGCGATCCCTGACAGGTACTGGTCATGTCGCCAGGTGAAAACAGAGGGAAAAAAAGAAAACTAATGACTGGTAAGCGGCAATACATATATTATATAAAAAAGCTCTTAGATGGGCATCTTAGCGAACACAATATACAGAGATACGGGATATGATTTTTAAACATGAACACAAACACATAGGTTGAACTGGATGAACTATTGTCTTTATTCAACCTTACCAACCATGTAACACTTTTGGTTTTGGGTTTGTTACAGATTTAACAAGCATTGTTAATTGACTAATATAAATGATCCACCTAAAAACTGTACTTCTACCCCCTCCATCAGCTCCTCCCTCAGTTATTATCCTTCATACTATATGCCCCTCCAGGGGCAGACTGACCATTCGAGCACTCGGGCACAGCCCGAGGGCTCGGGGTCAGTAGGGGGCCCCATGAAATGCCCCTGGTACCTTTTATTCTCTCTGTTTTCTCTATGCTGTCTTCCTTCATTTTAAAATATTTTCTCTTTCCAGCTGCAATCTCTTAGGATAAGCCATTAGTGCTCTGGCCCTTTGAAGATGGCGTCCTGGGCCTGAGAAGTAGAGCATTCAGAAGGACGCCTAAATATTTTGCAATGCTACTGCTTTCACCATTGGTTCACCTTAAAGCTGTCAGTGAATTTTCTAGATTCATATGCCACACGTGTTCATTTAATAAAGGAGGAGAATTGCAGGAGAAAGGAAAAAAATGGGAATTTCAATTGCAAATTATTGGGTAATTAAAGTGACCTGAACTTCCCTGGCTACGTAAACATTCTCCTTCATTACTAAGAGCTGGTTCACACCAGATGAAGTCCAGTGCAGGGGCGGACTGACCATTTGGAAACTCGGGCACTGCCTGAGGGCCCAGGGTCAGTAGGGGGCCCCATGAGATGCCCCTGGTACCTTTTTCATAGGTTTTTTTTGAGTGTGGGCAAGGACACAGGGGCCCCGTGATCCCCTATTGCCCGGGGGCCCCATGAGTTGTCAGTCCGCCCCTGTGCCCCTTCCTTTTAGATTGTAAGCTCTTGTGAGCAGGGCTCTTCTTTTCCTATTGTATTATAACTGTACTGTCTCCCTTCATTTTTATGAGCGTTGTACAGACTGTTGGCGCTACATAAATCCTGTGTGATAATAATAATCTCCCTGAAGATTTTGATCAATAAGGTTTTTGGAGTAGTGAAACATCTTTTGTTCTTTGGAGACCCGATGGAATTGACTTCCTCTCTGCCCTTTTTGTCAGGAAGCAGTCTGATGTCTTCAGGGAGCTGATTTCTATGGGGCACGTTACCTATTTTAGTGAAACAATATCCGTTTCAGATAATACACACCCAGCTTCCCACTAGTGTCTGTAAGTCACTGTTAGAGGTTTGTCTCCTGACACCACTTATGTTCCACCATGGCTTAACCTTTCAACTGAAACAATGGCGTATAGATAACTAGATGGGTATTTTTAGACATATGCACTACACACATGGACCTCATTCTGGAAGGTGTCTCAATTAACCACTTGCCCTCCAGAGGAATTTACACTGACCACCCCCCCCCCCCCTTTACCTCCTTTTTTCCCACTTCCTGCCATAATTGCCTTTTTGCGTTACAGCGCTGCGTTACTTTAACTGACAATTTCACGGTCATGCAACACTGCACCCAAATTAACTTTACCATCCTTTTTTTGACCCCACTAATTGAGGTTTCTTTCGGTGGTATTTGATCGCCTGTGCATTTTTAATTTTTGCACTATAAAAAAAAAGGGGGTACCGACAATTTTGAGAAAAAAACAATAGTTTTTACTTTTTGCTATTAAACATGTCCAGTAAAAAATTTTAAAAATCTAAATCTGTCATAAATTTAGGCCAAAATGTATTCTGCTGCATGTTTTTTCAAAACAAAAAGTCCCAATACGTGTAAATTAATTGGTTTACGTTACAGTTATATGCGTTTACGAATGGCGGTATATATACTGGGATTTTTTTTTTAATTTTTACTAGTAATGGTGGCATTCTGACACTAGAAGAACTGACTTGGTGTCACTGACATCACCAAAGACAGCTGCGGCCGTGAATGGTGGTGCGGGTAGGATGCACGCGCGCTTCCGACCCTGGAAATGCAAAATCATGTAACGTATGTACGTATATATATATATATATATATGTGTATATATATATATATATATATATATATACGTGATTTTGCACATCCATGCCGCCCGGTAGCAGTATTTCTGCTATAGGGTGGTCGGGAAGCGGTTAAGCACTGCCTGTACTCTCTGTACCTACAAGCAGGGCTGTGGATAAGGGGGTACCACCAGTCCTCCTGTACAGGGCCCAGGCCAGCAGGGGGACCCAGGCAGCTGGGTGAATTGGATGTGGGCAGGGAGAGTGATCACCATGGCATGGGGGACAATTACTGACTGGGGCAACTGATGGGGCCCTATGTGGGGCACTCTTTGCAGCAGCTGGGGCATCTTCTCCACTGACCGCTGGCATACAGGAGATTGGTTCCAGTAATTGCCAAGACCACCACATCCATCACCCTCCCTGTGCACCATATGCTCCCCAGTGCTACCCAGATGCCCCTGTGTGCCCCCACCCACGCAGTGCTGCTGGATTCCCTCCTCTCTGCCCCTCCTCCGCAACTGCAAGCACACAATAGGATCCTTCAGGGTGTGGAGTGCTGGAAGGGTCCCGTAAATACAGTATGTCACATTTACCAACCCTTTTCTTTACTGAGTGAACACAATGAGTGATCAGTACTGATCACTCACTGTGCTCATTCATTACTAAAGCATATTAAACTAGTAGAAATTTTTTTTTCTTTGGGGGGTGGGGGGCTGTCAGACTGGCTGTATGGGGCCCCATGGTTTCTAACAGCAGCCCTGCCTACAAGTTAGGCCTCATGCACACTGACGTTTTTTTAGCTCTCCCAGAAGCCTCCTCCTGGCAGCAGCATTTTGGCCCAAAAAATGCCTGATGCTTGCAAAAGTATGTAAAGTGTTTACCCATGTCAAGCACTTGGGCGTTGATTAATTTAATTTGCCAGAATAGATAATTTATTCTGGCCATTGAAATAGATTAACACTCATGCACTAAACAGGCCTAGAGTTTAGGGCACGATTAGATGCATTTAGGTGTGTTTACATGCGTTTAAGTGCATCAAGTGTTTTTTCTGCCAAAATTCCGCTGATCTAGGACGCACTGGCAGTAGGATTTTTTTTTGCTGCCACAAAACGCTGCTAAAAGCCTATGTGTGGATAGACACATAGGATAACATACAGGGGAGTTTAGAGGCAGTAAAAAAAAACGCCTGACACTCCCAAGAAGTAGCTTCAAAAACGCACAGTGAGCATGAAGCCTAAGTCTACATGTACACTAGCCTACTGCAGCCGCAGGAAAATACCAAACGCGCTTTGTATTTTCCTGCGGCCAGTGGTCAACACGTTCAGGAGAGGGAGGTTTAACCTCCCCTAAATGTGGCAGCTCCTAAACTCTGCTAAAGGCCTATGTGTACATGAATACATAGGCTTTTATGGAGCTGAGTTTAGGAGCTTTGGCAAAAAACATCAAAAGTTCCTAACCTCCCTAAAAAAGGACTGTTTGACTGTATGATGTGATTGGCGGCTACACACCAGGGGTTTCTTAAATCTGAAGTTTAATCTGCTCATATTTTAACTTCCCTGGTTCCTCCCTTCCTCCCTAATCAACATGGTTATGGAAATTTTAAATAAACCTTTACATTTTCATTATATACCTAATATAACCCCAGTGACATCACCGCTAGGCCTCTGTACTTCTCTATGTAATGCAGGCAGATCATGGCTTGTGGGAAGGGCCAGCGTGGTGCCATACAAAGCTTCCTAAAAACATCACAGCACCCTGTCTCAGTACTTCTCTCAATAGCCCTCATCCCTGAGGCAAGCAGAGGACTGGCTCTTCTGAGGAGTTAGGCAAATATCAAAATGCCTTGATGAGTGGGTGTGTTCCTAGGCACATTTGCATGCAGACAGTCCTAGGTAATGCCCAAATTTGATGCTGAGCTTCATTGATTGAAAGAACTAAAAATCCAGTGAAGGAAAGGACAGGGACAGTTAGGCTGGGAAGGAAAGATCTAGATGATGCTGGACGTCCTCCAGCAATGTACAACTGTACAAGACTAAAGATAAGGCTAGAGTTCAGCAGAAATGTATTTAGAGTATGTATCCTTTTATAAAGGCAATTACTTTTGCTACCTACCCTTTTTCTTTTTTTTTTCACAGATGAAGTGTATATGCTTATTTTCATTTATTGCTGCTTTTCAAAGAATCCTGTATTTACTGAAAAACAAAAACATAGTCTATGTATAGTTAGCTAAATGAGTCTTTAGACTCCTGGTGCCAACCTGTGCCCCTTTGGCACTTTTTGTGCAGCCCTCAGGGCCCCTGCAGGCTCTAATCTGTTTTTCCCTATTGCCCTGTTAAAGCAGTGATTTCAAGCAGTTTCATGTAATATGTCTTGCAGCATGTCCACAGGTTCTGACTATCTCTTGTATTGTGCTCATAGTCTCTGACCATGTCTTGTATCAAGCCCATAGTCTCTGACAATCTCCTGCATTGTGCCTATAGTTTCTTGTCATCTCTTGTATCATTCCCATAGTCTCTAACCATCTCTTGTATCATGCCCATAGTCTCTGATCATATCCTGCATTGTGCCTATCGCAGGGGCGGACTGACCATTTGGAAACTCGGGCAGTGCCCGAGGGCCCGGGGTCAGTAGGGGGCCCCATGAGATGCCCCTGGTACCTTTTTCATAGCTTTTTTGAGTTTGGGCAAGGACACAGGGGCCCCGTGATCCCCTATTGCCCGGGGGCCCCATGAGTTGTCAGTCCACCCCTGGCCTATAGTTTCTTATCATTTCTTGTATCATGCCCATAGTCTCTGAACATCTCTTGTATCATTCCATAGTCTCTGACCATCTCTTGTATCATGCCCATAGTCTCTGACCATCTCTTGTATCATGCCCATAGTCTCTGAACATCTCCTGCATTGTGCTTATAGTTTCTTATCATATCTTGTATCATGCCCATAGTCTCTGAACATCCTTGTATCATGCCCATAGTTTCTGACCATCTCTTGTATCATGCCCATAGTTTCTGAAGATCTCTTGTATCATGCAAATAGTTTCTGAAGATCTCTTGTATCATGCCCATAGTCTCTGACCATCTCTTGTATCATGCCCATAGTCTCTAACCATCTCGTGTATCATTCCATAGTCTCTGACCATCTCTTGTATCATGCCCATAGTCTCTGACCATCTCTTGTATCATGCCCATAGTCCTAACCATCTCGTGTATCATTCCATAGTCTCTGACCATCTCTTGTATCATGCCCATAGTCTCTGACCATCTCTTGTATCATTCCCATAGTCTCTGACCATCTCCTGCATTGTGCCTATAGTTTCTTATCATATCTTGTATCATGCTCATAGTCTCTGAACATCCTTGTATCATGCCCATAGTCTCTGACTATCTCTTGTATCATGCCCATAGTCTCTGACCATCTCTTGTATCATGCCCATAGTTTCTGAAGGTCTCTTGTATCATGCCCATAGTCTCTGACCATCTCTTGTATCATGCCCATAGTCTCTGATCATCTCTTGTATCCTATCCGCAGTCTCTGATCATCCATTATATTATGTCTGCAGTTTTTGACCATCTCATGTATCATGCCATTAGTCTTTGACTATATCCTGTTGTATGCCTGCTGTCTCTGACACTGAATAGTCATAGAATTGTATATGTGGCCATTTGTTGATATCAAGGGCTGCACTTGAGGTCCCCCATACCAAGAAAGTTGACCACCATTGCTTTAGGCTAACGGCCCACCAGCTATTGAAATATCTGAACCAGGGGTGGACTGACAACTCATGGGGCCCCCGGGCAATAGGGGATCATGGGGCCCCTGTGTCCTTGCCCAAACTCAAAAAAGCCTATGAAAAAGGTACCAGGGGCATCTCATGGGGCCCCCTACTGACCTCGGGCCCTCGGGCAGTGCCCGAGTTTCCAAATGGTCAGTCCGCCCCTGATCTGAACAGCGCCTGCATCTGACTGTATGCAGGCTCTGTTCAGCCAATAACGTTTCACCTGGCTTCAATTTTTCAATCAAGGGATGTCAGGCTGGAGGCAGACAACAGGGCCACCTACTGATCGATTTCGGATGGATGCTTCATAAGTAACCAGACAAAGGTCGCTCCATGTATGGCCAGCATTAGTGTCTTGCTGGGTGTTTTCTGCTATCAGGAACCCCAGTGACAGGGTTGAAGTTTGGAAAATGCATACAATAAACCCATCTATACCAGCAATGTGTCAATGTATGACTACATTTATGTTTGATCTGCAAAATTCAGCATTGGTTTACCTGCTATATAACAAATGTTTTCCTGTCTTCATTTGTTGTTTGCCATTTGTTCATAAGTTTTTAATCCTGTGTTCACCATTGAAAGGATTTACCGGAACACACAAATGCTCTGTTAGAGTTCAATTGTGAGTCATATGGAGAAAGAAAAGCTTTAGCCGCTTGAAACATTTCTGGGCTAAGGGATTTTTCTTTTTGTATTTAGGAGGCTCTCTGTATATGTGCTTCACAAAGGGTGAAGGAGGGCATGGTCACAATCTTATTACAGATCTCATTAGATATGTTAAGCGAAAAAGGTTGAGATTGTTCCGTTTTACGTCAAGAAGAGGATTGTCAGTGAAAGATTATACCAGCTGTGGACGTATATTTGAGATAGACCGATCTTCATAAACAATGACACAAATCTCTCACAGTCCACCTATAGTAGTAGAAGGTATTCTATCCATGGTTCCAATATATACAGTACCTGCTTGCATCTGGATAATAAGGAACTGGAAATTGACATTAAATATATAGTTTATTACACATGATCAATTTAAATTTTTTTTTAACTCTCTATTTTTTTTATTTATGCAGTGGGATGGTGTTATATTGTGGGCAGCACAGTGGCCTAGTGGTTAGCACTCCTGCCTTGCAGCACTAGGGTTCTTAATTTGAAACTCAACCAGGACACTACCTGCATGGAGTTTACATGTTCTCCATGTGCTTGCATGGGTTTCCTTCAACAAGTTGGTAGATTAATTGGTTCCTGACCCCTGTCCTGCCATGTCGGCAATGACCCCTGTTCTCTATCCTGCCAGCGGTGACCATGTCCTCTACCCTGCCAGCAATGACCTTGTCCTCCGCCCTACTGATCCTTGTCCTCGGCTCTGCTGACCCCAGTCCTCCGCCCTACTGATCTCCTCTACTCTGCTCTATCGATTCCTGTACAATCCCCTGCTGACCTTCCATCCTCTGCTCTGCTGCCTCCTTTCCTCTGCCCTGCTGACCCATGTACACTGCCCTACAAACCAATAGCCTCTGTACACTGCCCTACAAAGTGCTGCCCCTATTCTCTGCCCTGCTGACCCCTGTACACTGCCCTACAAATCAATAGCCTCTGTACACTGCCCTACAAACTGCTGACCATATGCTCTGCCCTGCTGACCCCTTGTACACTGTACACTGCCCTACAAATTGCTGCCCCTATCCTCTGCCCTACTGACCACGGTAAACTGCCCTACAAACCAATAGCCTCTGTACACTGCCCTACAAACTGCTGACCCTATGCTCTGCCCTGCTGACCTTTTGTACACTGTACACTGCCCTACAAATTGCTGCCCCTATCCTCTGCTATGCTCACCACGGTACACTGCCCTACAAACCAATAGCCTTTGTACACTGCCCTACAAACTGCTGACCATATGCTCTGCCCTGCTGACCCCTTGTACACTGCCCTGCTGACCTCCCATCCTCTGCCCCCCTGACATTTTCTACTGCACCCCCAGACAGGCTAGATTCAGCCCTGTATACACATGAACAATGCGTTGCACTGTTTATGAATACATTCAGAAATACATATACCTACCAAATCAAAGTGTGAATAATGATTAATAGTCCAAAATAAATGTCTTGACTGCCTTCACTAGCGCCAGTGTTCCAAACACCACCAAACAAATCTGCTTCCAAGAGGGTCAAACCTTGTCATAGAGGAGGTCCCACAGCACTTTACACTGACTCTAGAAGGATGGATGACTCTCAATGCAGAATGACAGAGCACAATGGTTACAGAACAAAGGAAACGATATAGTGTAGCAATTCCCAATCAATTTATTTAAAAAAACAAGGGCAAATACTCACAAGCAAGGAATATAAGCAAACAGAACACTGACAAACTCAGCCCGTCCGAGCCGGCGTGTTGCCATCACCTCCTAGCCCTGCCATATACATTTTGTCCAGAACGTCTTCTGAGGCTATCAGAGTGTCTTTATTATTACGTTATTGATTACTTTCCTGATTGCTTTTGATTTGTTTTTGCACTAAGCGCAATTTGCTTACACAGCTATGGTTAACTGCCAATAAGTTGCAGAAATATTAAAGCCAGTTGATTTGCTTTAGAAAAATTTAGAAAATAAGAGGCAGCATTAAAGGGTCAGTTCACACCACCGAAATGCACTGCAGATCCGTTCTGCATGTGTTTCTGCATGTACGTTTTTAATGCATTCTGGTTCATATTTTGATGCATTTCCAAATGCATTCAGATGCTTTTTTCTTATTTCTTCCTGTGTTTTTTTTTTTTTACTGTATTGGGGACCAGTGCGTTTTTTATGCGTTCCGGTGCCTTTTTAATGTGTTTCACCATGTTCCAGTACAGTCCAGTGCAGGAGAAATGCAGCAAGTTCTACTTTTTTTTCTGTAACTGGAATACCGTGGAACTGACTGCACTGGTATAAACTATGCCATTGGAAACCATATAACCTACTTTCCATGTGTTTTTGATGCAGAAAAAAATGCACTGGACTGCATGTGGTGTGAACTGGCCCTAAAAATGCTTTATCAAACATCAGTGTTTGGTTTAATGTACACTTGTCAGGAGAGAAATGCAGACGATGCAATTGCTTGTTTGTAGTCTGACTCCATCTGAGTTGAAGTCTTTGACAATAAAAAAGTCAGAAAAAAGTGAGAAATCGTTACCTGTATACTTGATCCATGTCAGTGACTGAAAGTATGGAATCAGCAGCATGACAGCCAGGTAGTTAGCATTTTCAGAGGAAGACTGTCAGCCTGCATACTTTCCCTTGTGAAAGATTTCCATGAACATTAGACTCGTGCTTTTTAAGGAAAAATAAAGCTTCAAATGAAATATCACAATAATCCCAGATGATCATAGACTCAGAGACTAGAGCTCTCGCATTATCTGCAGCTAAGCATCATCCTCAATTTTATCTATGCAAAATATAAGTGTTAAAAAGGTCATACTTGTCATTTTGGTTAGAAACATGGCATGGTAAGGATTGCTGATTGTTTCCACCAAATGCTAAATATGTTTAAGCATATTGTATGAGCATATGATATATTTCCTTCACAAAGTATTCATTTAAATTTTTTTTTTACAAATGTACAGAACACTTTTTTATAGTATTTTCATAGATAGTAGTTCAGTTTGTTGAGACGTTGATGCCAACCTTTACAATTTACTAAGCTTTATATAGGATGGATTGAAGAGCAAATTCTAAAATGTCAATGTATATTCTTCTTTTTTTTTCAGCCTAAATGGTATATACACTCACTGGCCACTTTATTAAGTACATCTTGCTAGTGCCAAGAAAATATCCCCCACACCATTACACCACCACCAGACTGGACCATTGATACAAGGCAGGATGGAACCATGCTTTCATGTTGTTTACGACAAATTCTGACCCTACCTTTTGAATGTCGCAGCAACCAGTCTGCCATTCTCCTCTGACTTCAACAAAGTATTTTTGTCCGCACAACTGCCTCCCACTAGATATCTTCTCTTTTTCGGACTATTCTCTGCAAACCCTAAAGATGGTTGTGCATGAAATTCCCAGTAGATCAGCAGTTTTTGAAATACTGAGACCAGCCCATCTGGCATCAACAACTAGAGATGAGCGAATTATTCAAAAATTCGGTTCGGCTGATTCGCCGAATTCGCCGAATAAATTTGCTTTGAGCCGAATATATTCGCTGCGAATTTAACTTATAAAAAGGGTGTTTCTAGGCTTCAGAGAGCCTTTATATTAGTTAGTGCAGAACACTGTACCTTTAATTTAAATGCCCTTGGAGTCTGCTGGGGAAGAGAAATAATACTGTCAGTCAGTATGACATGCAGATGAGTGCCGTCGATCTTAGAATCACCGCACACTTCACTCATTTGGGCAGTCACGGGGCCAAAACTAGAGTGTGGAGCCACAGTGTGGCGGTGGAGGCAGCAGCAATGGGAGGCCATACAGCACCCTATGACAAAATGGAACCCACCAACAGTGTGAGGAGACCTGAAAGTGGCACATGGCAGAGTGTGGCGATGGAGACAGCAGCAATGGGAGGCCGTACAGGGACCCATGACACACTCTGGACCTGGCAGCAGCATGAGGAGGCGGTACAGGGGCCCATGACAGATTACGGGCCTGGCAGCAGCATGAGGAGTCGGTACGGGGGCCCATGGCAGATTACGGGCCTGGCAGCAGCATGAGGAGGCAGTACAGGGGCCCATGGCAGAGTGGCGGAGCGTAAGCAGCTAAAATTGAAGGCCATACAGAGGCCTATGTTAAAAAGTCCCCCCAGCAGCAGCGTGGGGAGACAACTATCAAGAGTCCAATGGCAGAGTGGCGGAGCAGAAGCAGCTTCAATTGAAGGCCATACACAGGCCTAGGTTTAAAAGTCCCTCACAGTTAATTCCAATAACGAACTCTACTCCTCCGTGCAATCTACTTACGAGACCCTGGGCAGGTCTGGGTCCAATTTGTGGTAGAGACTGGTTTTGTTCAGCCATGCTTGAGCAAGTAATAACAGGTCTGTGCTGCCCTTTGGTGTCTGGCTTAATGCGCACAACACTGAACGTCCCAGCGTTTGTCAACGATTTGCTGTTAAGTGATGCAAACCCGCTGAACCACGTTCATGAGAAGCCGGTACAGGGGGCCATGAATCAGTATGGACCTGGCAGCAGCGTGAGCAGACGACAGAGGCACATGGCGCAGGGTGGCGGTGTAGGCAGCAGCAATGGAAGGCCATACAGCACCCTATCAGCACAAAAAATGGAACCCACCAACAGTGTAAGGAGACCTGAAAGTGGCACATGGCAGAGTCTGGCGATGAAGTCAGCAGCAATGGGAGGCCGTACAGGGACCCATGACACACTCTGGACCTGGCAGCAGCAAGAGGAGGCGGTACAGGGGCCCATGGCAGAGTGGCGAAGCGTAAGCAGCTTAAATTGAAGGCCATACAGAGGCCTATGTTAAAAAGTCCCCCCAGCAGCAGTGTGGGGAGACGACTATCAAGAGTCCAATGGCAGAGTGGCGGAGCAGAAGCAGCTTCAATTGAAGGCCATACACAGGCCTAGGTTAAAAAGTCCCCCCAGCAGCAGCGTGGGGAGACGACTATCAAGAGTCCAATGGCAGAGTGGCGGAGCGGAAGCAGCTTCAATTGAAGGCCATACACAGGCCTAGGTTAAAAAGTCCCCCCAGCAGCAGTGTGGGGAGACGACTATCAAGAGTCCAATGGCTGAGTGGCGATCCGGGAAGTCAGCGTTGTGATTGCAGATGCAATGCAGAAATTTTATGAGGTAATGCCGTGGGTGCGAAGAAGATCATATACCGTCGTACTTCCATCCATAAGACGGAACAACCTGCGAACCGGGAGCTTTATTGCCCTGACCCGCTGAGCAGCTTCTGGGATACCCAAGAGTTTGGCTTCTGTGGGGAATATGGTTGAAAACTGAAACTTAAAGGCATGTTGACGGAAGGGCACCAGTGTCAGTGCTCCGGAGGGAATATAGCTTCAAAGCTGACACTTAAAGGTATATCGACGGTCAGAGACCACAGGAAGTGGAGCTTGCGTCTTAAATCGACTGAATGTGGCAGACGTGAAACGTCTATGGGCCGTATATGAAACGGGTTGTTCCTCTTTCTGGAATAAGTGTTGGAAATGGCCACTCTTTTTGGTGTGGCGTTTTGTCTATTTAATTCCGATAACGGACTCTACTCCTCCGTGCAATCTAGTTACGAGACCCTGGGCAGGTCTGGGTCCAATTTGTGGTAGAGACTGGTTTTGTTCAGCCATGCTTGAGCGAGTAATAACAGGTCTGTGCTGCCCTTTGGTGTCTGGCTTAATGCGCACAACACTGAACGTCCCAGCATTTGTCAACGATTTGCCGTTAAGTGATGCAAACCCGCTGAACCACGTTCATGAGGAGCCGGTACAGGGGGCCATGAATCAGTATGGACCTGGCAGCAGTGTGAGGAGACCCGAAAGTGGCACATGGCGCAGGGTGGCGGTGGAGGCAGCAGTATTCGGAAGACATACACAGGACTAGTTTAAAAAGCGGAAGCCGTCAGCAGCGTGAGCAGAGAGGCACATGGCGCACGGTGGAGAGCAGTATTCAAGCCATACACAGGCCTAGGTTAAAAAGCGGAAGCCGTCAGCAGCGTGGCAGACGACAGAGGCACATGGAGGCAGCAGTATTCGGAAGCCATACACAGGCCTAGGTTTAAAACTGGAACCCAGCAGCGTGAGCAGACGACAAAGACGCACATGGCAGAGGATGGATCTGGCAGCAGTATGAGAAGGCGGTACAGGGGCCCGTGGCACAGTGTGGTGATGGGGGCTACAGCAACTGGATGCCAGAAAGTGGCCGATAGGGCTATATACTGCATGGAATTATAAAGTTGTAAAGACAGCGGCCTATAAGGCTATACACACTATAACAATCATGACTTGATTGACCATTGGCCTATAAGGCTATACACAGCATGAATATCATGACTTATTCTGAGAGTGGTTTGGAAGGCTATATACAAAAAGTAATTCATGAGCTGTCCGGACAGCGGACAATAAGTACATATATACAAATCAATTCATCAGCTGTCCAGCCAGCGGCCTCAAAGGCGACACATATAGAAAGCAATTCATGAGCTGTTCAGACAGCGGCCTCTAAGGCGACAGATATACAAAGCAATTCCCGAGGTGTTCAGGGAGCGGCCCTAAAGTCTCTGTGGCCCTAACTCTGTCCCTTAATACACACAGGTCTGTCTCTCTTGAATGACCGGAGGCTAATGGAGAATTCTAAGATGGCCGCGATTTATAGCTCCACCATTACACAGTGCTGGCTGGCTGCTGATTGGCTAATGCGATCACATGTCATGAATGCATTATGGGTCAGCACGCCTTGTCTGCGCGCCTTCCCAGAGATCCCCGCCCCATCTTCTCTGTCCATTTTCTCCGTCGCCACACATGTCGCCGCCATTTTTGGGAAAATTCGATTCGTGCATCCGAAGTTTGCTAATCTTCGGATTCGTCACGAATAGAATTTTTCCAAATCTTCGGAACGAATTCCACTTCATCATGTTCGATTCGCTCATCTCTATCAACAACCATGCTACGTTCAAAGTCACTTATATCCCCTTTGAGCCCCATTATGATGCTCAATTTGAGCTTCAGCAAGTCGTCTTCACCACATCTACATGCCTAAATGTATTAAGTTGCTGCCATTTGATTGGCTGATTTGCAATTTGTGTTACCAAGCAGTTGAACAGATGTACCTAATAAAGTGGTTGGTGAGTGTATAATCTAATGGAATTAGGTAAGGAGCCAGGTTTGTACAAGTATTCTCAATTAGAGCTGCCCTGAAGTGAAATTGTGTTCTAAGAGAGTGGGGGAAAAAAGTGTTTAAACCAATGGTGGGAGCTAAAAAAAACAGGGTAACATAGCTGGCCCTAGTATGAACATGAATTGGGACCTTTAGCTTCTTGTGGCAGAGAATGATATGAATGTACAATATATAGTATATACTAGGCATCATTAAATGGCGGACTGCAGTCTGGATACGGACCAAATGACAGCCCTATCTGGACCGTGGCTCCACCACTTTGCTGCCTGGGTGTCCTCTCCCAGGTGATATCCTCCTTCCCCCGCTGCCGCCGCCACAGCATTCATCCTTACAACATGGCATGTCCAGACAGAGGGCGGGAGCTGCCCAACTTTTCAGGTTAACAAGCCAGTGATTTGTTGCTAGGATGTGGGGCGGTCCTAGCAACCAATAACCTGCCTGTTAACATGAAACATTGGACTGCTCCCACCCTCTGTCCAGCCATGATGTTCCTTCTGCCTTCTACCTGCTGTGTAGCCCACATGGAAGAAAAATATGTTTGAAATATATTTTAAAAATATTCTTCACAATTATATTGACATATATCTGAAATACTACAATTTTGACCATATTCAATATATTTCACAATATATTTCAATATATATATATATATATATATATATATATATATACACTGCATGTTGAAATGCATTTTTTATATATAAAAAATATATGAAACATATCTTTAAAAATATATATTTTTTAAATATATTCTTCAGATTTTTTTTAACATATAAAAAAGTCATTTTAACATATATTTTACATATAGTTGTAAATGCATTCCAAAAATGTAGATTAAATGTATTTTTAACCGGTTCCCGCCCGGCCTATGGCTGAATGGCGGCCGGCAAAAACCCTCGTCCCTCTAGGTAGACGCTATATGGCGTCCTTTCAGGCATGCGCAGTTTGCATGCCAGCAGAGCCGCACAGCTGCGCGATCTGTCATCGGCGTATACCTCGGACACGGCCAATGACAGATCTGTGTACCGGCCCTGTTGCTGGTGCCATGTGACCTGCTGTGACCAATCACAGCAGGTCACATGACAGTTGTATACAATGAATGGCTTCCTATCATGCCATCCATTGTATGCAAGTGTGTCTAGCTGTGAATGGTCACAGCGATCATATGCACAAGCTGTGCCAATCACAGCCCAGCTGTGTCATGAGATTAGCTGCTGCCAAATCACAGTTAAAAAGAAAAAAAAAATCCTGAATGAATCGATTTCATTCAAGTAAATGCTTGCTTATAGCAAAGTAATTCTTTGCTATAAGCAAATTGTGTAAATAATATATATATATACTTCCCCAAAGTAGTACAGTGTTACTATGGTAACATTATACTACTTTGGTCATAGTGAAATATGAAAAAAAATCTTGAAAAAAGAAAAAAAAAGAAATAAAAAATAATAAAAAAATTAAAAAAAAATTATAATTTTTTTTTTTTTCGTACTGTCACCAGTCAGTGTCCTTGATCACCGCCATGCCAGTTATATGATGACGCTGTACTACTCTGGTGACAGTATGTAAAAACAAATAGTGAAAATCATTTTTTTTTTATTTCTTTATTTTGAAAAATTATGACAAAAAAATTACAACTTCAAAAAACTCTCCCTGCCTTTTATGAAATACATCGGACTGTCTACTTTGTAAAAAGGGGTCATTTGGGGGATATCTGTACTTTTCTGACATTCTTGGCCCTCAAGAAATTAGATTGGCTGTCAGTACTTCAGGATTGATCAATTTTCAGATATATCCCATAGTTTGTGAACTCTATAACTTTCCTACAGACTAAATAATAAATACTAATTTGGGTTATTTTAACCAAAGACATGTAGCAGAATACATCTTGGCCTAAATTTATGAAGAACAATTATTTAGTTGCAAACTTTTATAACAGAAACAAAGAAAAATTTGGGTTTTTTTAAAAATTTTTGGTCTTTTTTTGTTAATTTAGCAAAAAAATAAAAACCCCAGCGGTGATTAAATATCACTAAAAGAAAGCTCTAGTTGTGTGAAGAAAATGATAAAATTTTAGTTTGGGTACAATGTTGTATGACCGCGCAATTGTCATTCAAAGTGTGAGAGCGCTGAAACCTGGAAAATGGCCTGGGCAGGAAGGGGGGTAAAAGTGCCCTGTCTGGAAGCGGTTAAAGAAATACAGTATATCTGAAAATGTATTTTTAAAAATATTTTTCATATATTTTGTAATAAAAACGCATTTCAACACACAGTATATATAATATTTTTAAAAAAAAGTGTAAAAAAAATTTATATATATATATATATATATATATATTTTTTTTTTTTTTAAATATATTGAATACGGCCAAAATGGTAGTATTTCAAATATATGTCAATATATTTAGGAAGAATATTTTTAAGAATATTTTTAAATATATATTTTTCTTCCAAGGTAGGATTCATAAGGTTGGAGGAGGGTTGTGATTGGCAGAGGAAAATGTGATGTAATGGAGGGTACATTCCTATAACAGGGACTAGGTTGCAAGGAAGGAAGAGGGACCAGTATACAAGAAAGGGGGGACTGAGATAGGGGGGATGTGAAGGGAACTAAGGTGCAAGGAAAGGGGGCTGTGAAGGGGGCTGGGGTACAAGGAAGGGGGGGGGGGCTTTGAAGGGGACTATGATGCAAGTAAGGGGGGCTGTAAAGGGGACTGGGGTGCAAAGGCTGTGAAGGTGATTAGGATACAAGGAAGCAGACACTCAAATGTCAAATGGGGCTGTGCTGTTAAGGGGAGGTGCTCTGATGTAAAGGGGGGGACTGTAATGTAAAGGGGGGCTGTATTTTAAAGGGAGGTGCTGTGATGCAAAGAGGGTGTTCTGCAGAGTAAAAGAGGGCACTGGTGTAAAGCGGGGGTGTGGTGTGCAGAGGGCTGTGACATAAAGGTGAGGACACTGATATAAAGGGGATACTGCAACGTAAGGGGATGGAGCTGTGATATGAAGGATCCGAGTCATGGCACAAGCATGAGAAAATTTGAATGACCGGATTGTTGACACTATATAAACACCTGTAACAAGCAAATAAACATTGGGTGTTTCCACAGGATGGACAGACCTTTAGACAGACCTTTAACTGAGAATTGCAGCTGTATAGTCCAGCATAGGCCTCATGCACACTGCAGTTAAAAAAAAAAATGTCCATTTTACATGCGTTTTTGCCTCTAAACGCACATGTTAGCCTATGTGTCCATGCACACATAGGCTTTTACAAGTGTTTAGAGGCATTAGTGTTTAGGAGCCGAAATCTGAATGCACCAAAATCGCTTTCAGTGGAAGAGCGTTTGGGAAAAAATGCCAACGTGCCTAAACATTTGATGCATTTAGCACTTGAGCGTTCATTTCAATGGCAAGAATAAACTAATATTCTGTACAATGAAATGAATCCCCAAAAGCTTGACAGGCCTGAATACGTCTAAACGGTGGCTTTGTTTTTAACATTGCTTTTCTCCTGCCAGGAGAAAGGCGTTCAGAAGAGCTGGGCAAATGCCCAGTATGCATGAGGTCTACAAGATCAGTGCTCATACATTGAAAGAAATGTAACTTTTTTTTCCTTGTAAACATCACTAATGATTGATATCTAAATCAATATTTAAC